TCCCTAGGTTTCAATTTTCTCACCTTAAAAGTGAGACATTTCCTGGTCTGAGGTGACTGAGGTCGGCACGTACAGGAGAATTCAAACGCTACGGAGTCTGCGGAGGGGCCCTGCTTTCGTTTTGGGTCTCTTTGATCTTGCTGATGACACCAGGGAGGTCCACCCGGTGTCACCTCTGTCTCTAGGACTTGCCAAGTGCCCTTTTCTAAGACACAGTGACCTTGGGCACCCACCGGCCTGGCGGGGACGGGGTTAACCCGGCTTGCCGCGCCCTGACGTTGTTTCCGGAGGTTTCTACAGTCAGGGGATTTGACTGACTTTCCAAGACTGGACAGTGACCCTAAGATCCCTTTTTAAAAAGTTCATTGAAGTTTAAAAAAAATAGTGAGTTTTTAAAAAGCGAGCTCACTAGGGAGGGCGGAGGACACCCCCATGTGGCAAAGAGCAGGAAAAGCCACCCTTAACCAAGTTAAAGAAGCAGCAGCGAGACCCCCGGTGTGTGGGGGGCTGCCAAGGGAACTGTGTGCTCTTCCACCAAGTCCCCACACCCAGAGGCCCCCGTTCCTTGTTTGTGTGACGACCCTTTTATGTAACACTCTCTACGCACCAGGCCCCACCTAAGGGCCTCGTCAACTTGGTCCTATTCAACCTTCGCAGCCCACGAGGGGGATCTTGTCATTCTTCCTGTTTTGTAGGAATGGGGACTGAGGCACAGAGAGGTAAAGTAGCTTGTCTAGGGCCACACAGCCAGGATCCACGTCCATGTGGTCGGGTGCCTCTGAGGTCTGACTGCAGTGCGTTCAGGAGGGGGTCTGGTGGGTGGGCACATCCCCCGTGCCGGGTGGGCTGGCACTGGAGGAGCAGCCTGGGCCCCTCGGGCAGCAGAGAGTTGGCCTTTTGCATCTTACTCCTGGTGGTCAGCACACAGTAGGTGCTTATTAAACGCTGGCAGAACGACTAAGCTCTGCTCAAGCACGAGGCCCTTTCCACTTACACAGGGAGAGCGATCCCCAGGTCACAGAGGGCTAAGTGGAGACCCCGGGGATCTGTGACATGGCCCGTAAGAGGCAGAGCCAGGTGCGAGTCCAGATCACACCCCAGAAAGTGAAGTGGGCACAGGTATGTGGGACACTGACCGGAGGCAAGCCCCCGGCGGGAAAGCCAGCCGGCCCTTGTGAGCTTGGGAGGGGCCCCGGGGGGAGTCAGGCAGCAGCCTGGGTGGGTAGGACCCCAGCCCCTTCCCGCCACCATGCTTACCCCGAAATCCACCAGAACATGGCTCTGGAGGGGAAGGACGCTCCAGCCTTTGGGCATGGATTCTGCAAAAGATGAAAGATGGGGAACCTCAGCTCATACCCAGGGTGGGTAGGTGACCACGGTCAGGGAGACAGGACGGACCGGCCACGCACTCCGCACCCAGAATGCACACTGAGGGCACTGCCTCCTTGTCATGTCGATGAGCGTGGTGCTTCCTAGCAGGCAAGGTGAAAAGGGACTGAGCTACACACTGGTAGAGTCCACGCAGTCAGAAATGAGAGCGGCTCAGGAGAACAGCTGTCCACACCAAGACCAAGAGGTTCTCAAAGAAGGACCCTGTCCTCAACGATGTCCCTCAGCCAGGGCTGGGAAGAGGGCACTGTCCACTTCACAGAAGAAACACGAATGGTCAAAAAATACATGGAAAAATGTTCAGTGTCTCTAGCAGTTAGAGAAATGCAAATCGAAGCTACGCGAAGATCTCACCTCACTCCAGGCAGAAGGGCAGCTTTTGAGAATACAAACAACAATCAGTGTTGGGAGGATGTGGGGGAAAGGCGCACTCATACGTTGCTAGTGGGACTGCAAATTGGTGCAGCCAATGTGGAAAGCAGTGTGGAGATTCCTTGGAAAACTTGGAATGGAACCACCACTTGACCCAGCTATCCCTCTCCTCGGGCTATATCCAAAGGACTTAAAAAACAGCATACTACAGGGACACAGCCACCTCAATGTTTATAGAAGCTCAATTCACAATAGTCAAACTGTGGAGGCCCTTCAACAGATAATGGATAAAGAAAATGTGGTACATATACACAATGGAATATTGCTCAGCAATGAAGAAGAATGAAATTATGGGTTTGCTGGTAAATGAATGGAACTGGAGACTCTCATGCTAAGTGAAATAAGCCGATCCCCCCAAAACCAAAGGCCAAATGTTTTCTCGGATACGCAGATGCTAATTCACACTAAGGGGGGACAGAGCTAGGAGGGAATAGAGGGACTTTGCACTAGGCAGAGGGGAGTGAAGGGAGGGGAGGGGTATGGGGGTAGAAAGGATAATAGCAAGAATCAGACCTTATTACCCTATGTGCATGTGACGGGTGTGATTCTACACCGCGTTCAACCAGAAGAGTGAGAAGTCATGTTCCACCCGTGTGTGACCGGGCAGGTGCCTCCTACTGTCACGAAGAGCTCATTGGAACAAAGTTTTTACAAAGAGGGCTCTGCCCTGTGATTTTTGTCAGCCGACCCACAAAGTTGCACAGTCTACCCTCTTCACCAACAAGGCACAAAGCGCCCATGTCACTCCATGGTGGCCATCCCAACTTGTTATCAGTTGTTAGGTTTTTCTTGGTTTCCGTCCTGACAAGCACAGAAAGGTCCCACGGCCTTTCTGAGCAGCTCATCCGCGTGAGCAGGTCTAGAGCTGGCCGCGGCCCGGCTCCTCCTCAGAAAATTCTCCCCCGACTCCCCAGGTGCCTGCTTCAGTGGCACCTGTTGGGGGCTCAGGGGCCTGAAAGTCTCCTGCCGAGCACCTCCCCAGGTGTCACCTCCCCCACATCTGCGCAGTTATGTGACCGCTAACTGCCCGGGGCGGGGACCCTGCCTGCTGCTCACCCGACCTCAGCACCGGCTGGAGCCCAGGGCTGGGGACAGCGCTGTGGCCTCCGGACCAAACCCAGCCCACCGCCTGCTTCTGCAGGCCATGCCCTGTGGCCGCCCGGCCGCGCCCCTGGGCCTACACGTCTCCTGTGCCGGCTTCTGCTCCACCGCGGCAGACCGCTCCAGAGCCTCAGATGTCTCCAGAGGGAGCTGGCCACAGGGCCACCGCGAGGAGCTGAGCCACTCCCGTGTTGCCAGCGAGTGAAAGACACACACCTAAGCTCTGGTTCACGCTCTCGGGTCCCCCGTGGAGGCTGGGACCCAAAGGGGTGCAGGCAGGAAGGAGGCCCGGAGTCGGGGACCAGTTGGGGACTCACCGGCTGCTGGGCGTCTTTAGGGAAGAAGGGGGGCCAGTCCACCAGGCAGGACAGCACAAACTGTGCCACCACCAGAGACAAGCACAGGTAGGTGGACAGGTGGCCGAGGGGGTCGCTCTGGAAGCCCTGCAGGAGAGAGAGAGAGAGAGCACAAGTCCCCCTGAGTCTGGGGCCCGGAGGACAGTGCCTGAGCCCCCCGGGGTGGAGGCAGAGAGGGGCTCCCAAGAACGGGGAGGCCGGGGCTGAACAGGGTTCCAGGCCAGGAGCAGCGTCCGGGTAGGGGACAGGGCCAGGGTGTCCCCGAGCCAGGCCCCTGCATTCCCGATTGTCCCAGTTTACAAAACCTGATGTGCACATATTCTGTCTGAACAAACGCGGGGCCAGGGCTGTGTCTGGGCTTTGCCCTTAGCTGGTGACGGCGGACACAGAGCTGGGACAAGGAGAAGAAGGGACACTGGGGCCTTCTCCTTTCTCTATTCCAGCTCCCCCGCCACACCCAGCCTCCCGTGCGGCTCCCCCTGGGCCTGTGTTCTCTGGTTGACGACAGGGAACGGGTTTGACTGAGCATGTACTCTGTCCCGGGCACACACAGTCTCATCAGGTCCGCCCACCGACCCCAGCTGGGTTTACGGCCTCCGTTTTACTCCTGGTGAAACAGCAGCTGAGCTCAAGGGCACACAGACGGTGCCAAATTGTGAGCTGCTCTGCTGAGCCACTGCAGGGCTGGACAAGAGACCAATAAGTACAGTCCTCTGGCTACTGTGATGGGGGTGGGAACGCACACAGGGCTCAGGCGGGGACAGTGACAGCTAGACCCACAGGGGGAGTCACCGATGGGTCTCACTGACAGGGAGACAGGGTCTCGTTGAGTTGCTCAGCGCCTCGCAGTGGCTGAGGCTGGCTTTGAACTCAAGATCCTCCTGCCTCAGCCTCCTGAGCCGCTGGATGACCGCGTGCGCCCTGTGCCTGGCTCTCCTGAGATCTTTCTTCTGGCTTTGTTTTTTTTTTTTGCAGACAGTAGACAGTTGTCCTCTGGTTTCACGGGGCCCCCTTCCCATGCCGCTGTGTGTTTTTTTTCTTTTAACCACTGTCGCTATTACAAAGCTGGGACCGTGGGAAGGCCTGACCTTGGGAGAGGTTCACGGTTGGCCCCTGCCCTCCTGACCACTTGGCCTGGGGGAGGACATTCCCTCGGGGCCTCGTTTCCTGTCTTTGAAGTGGGACTTCGGGACCCTAGACGGAGCGTTCTGGGGAGACTCCAGTGAGGGGGACATAAGTGCTCCCTGGTGCCTGTCCGTGGCCACGGCTCCGGCGTGCAGAGGGCTCCAGGGTCTCTGTTTCTGTCCTGAGCTCCGGAAGCTGACTGTGGCCGCACCCTCCATGATTTGGGGGTGCCCATGGGGTTTCCTCATGAGGTAAAAACGCTGCTCTTTAAAGATGTGTCCTAGGGTCAGAGGGATGTCCCTCCACTTTCTCCTAGGAGCAGGACAGAGTGACCACGTGGCTCAAGAAGCGATGGCCGGCCACCTGCTTCCACCTGGTCCTTGGCCCCCAGGCCACAGCCTCGGCAGAACGCTCTCCAGAGGCGAGTGACTTGCCCTGGGTGGGTGGGTTTCCCCCTTGGGGGACCTGGCAGGATCTGGGGGCACTCTGGGTCACCACAGTGGAGGGCGGTTGCTGCTGCTAGTGGGTAGAGGCCAGGGATGCCCATCCGGATCCCAGGACATAAAGCTGGGACCATCCTCCATCCCCCACCCACAGAGAAGGGTCCAGCCCGAAGGTCAGCGGAGCCGGGCTGTGGAGGCCGATTCAGGCTGCGTCTCTCTTTGCAGAGAAATTGCCCCATCAGCTCCTAATCCAGAAGCCCCGCTTCCCAGACAGCCGAGTGAGTGTGCAGAAAGTGAGTGTTGGCACAGGTGCACTGGGATGTGGGGAGGCCGAGTGTGTCAGGAGGAGGGGGCACGTGCGTCACCTAGGGAAGAGCATGTGAGTGCGTCCAGGCCGGGCAGTACACGTGTGAGTTCCTGTGTCCTGGCGGGAGGCGGGCCTGGGGCACGCAGGTGTGTGTGTGCCAGCCGGCAAGAGAGTGTGACATGTGTGAGACCAGGGAATCTGTGCCATTAAGAAAAAGCACAAGTGACTACGTGCAGGGACCTAGAGATTATTGCGTGAAGTGAAAGGAGCCGGTCTCGAGAGGTCAGGGTGGAGTAGCCTCACCCACTGGTAGAAGAGGAAGAAGTGGCTCTTACAGACCGGGGTCCAGCGGGGTGGCCAGAGGCTGAGGGTGGTGGGAGAGATTCCTCAGCAGGTACAAATACAGCCGAAGAATGGGCCTGGCGTTCTGTTGCAGGGGCCGGGATTGTAATTAACAATGTTGAATATTTCAAAAGAGCCAGGAGAGGAGTCTGAATGTACCCACCCCAAAGAAACGGCCCCTGGAGGAGGCCATGCATGTTAAGCACCCTAACTATGGATTCTGACGCGATGTACGATGCACCCAAATACCCCGCTGCACCCCGTAAGTGTGTACGATTAGCATGTGCCAGTTAAAAGTCAGAACATGGACGGAGGGTGGCTACTTAGAAGTGAGGGTACATTTGTGTGTCTCTAGTGTTTAAGTGACTGGGGCGTGTGCCTGTGTCTCTCTGTGTTGAGATTAAGCCAAGTGTGGAAAGGGCAGGGGAAGCATGAGACCCAAGGCCGCCATATGGGTCTCCCCAGCTGGCCCAGGTCCCCACTCACCCCTCTGGAGGCCTGCTGGGCGCTGCTCGTAGCTGGCAAGAGGCAGCAAAGCAGCCAGTACCCAAACAGCAGCCGGGAAGCCCGGACCCCCTTCTTCCTCTCCATGTGAATCAGGAACACGGCGAAGCCCTGGGCGACAAAGTCCAGCTGGGCCCCTTGTGGGGGTGGGGGTGGGGTGGGGTGGGAGGGGAGGCGCCTCTCTCCCCCACGCTCCCCACCAGGAGCGAGCCAGGTTCCAGCAGAAGAGGCCATTACCATGGTGGTGAGCCACACTGTAGGGTGAATCAGGAATTCTGGGGCCTGGGGCGTTCCCTGTTGGATTTTCCAAAGAGGGAGGGCCACGTTGAAGACACACAGGAGCATGAGGGCGAACCCGAGCACCTGGGGAGACAGGTGTAAGTAAGGCTGGGGGTGAAACAGAGGTGGGAGGAGACCTGGGGTGACCCCATGTCGTGTTGGACGGTGGTTCTGCAATGTCCCAGAAAAGACCCTGTCATAAACCAAGGTCACACGTTACCAGTCTGCTGATGTGTAGGATGCGTGGCTGGGGGCACTGCAGACCAGCCCTGGAGTGAGTAACACACAATAGGACTTGGGCCAAACCCACGTCCCCCAAATGCAGAAGGAGTTCCACAATGCACTCAGGTGTGGAGATACCAAGTGACATGAAAATTATTTGCAGGGTGAATTGCCCTTTGCAATCTCTGCTACCAAGTCCATGGGAAACTCTTCAATGGGCAGGGACGTTTCCAGAATATCTGCCCAAGAAAGCGAGAGAGTTGTCACGTGCACACACCACAGAGAAGGCCAGAGCAAGGCTCGGGGAGGAGCTACCCGAGCTACCCAAACCACCCCGCCAGGCTGCTGCAGGGCTCACGGGCTACCTACCATCTGCAGCTGAGTGGGGCCCGCTGTCCATTTATGAAGACTGTGAGCTAAGGATTTATTTATTTATTTTTTTACATTTTTCAATCATTGGTTACAAAAAAAAAATGCAAAAGCAGCGTAATATGTCATGACTCGAAAATGAGATGAGATTCCCATTTCGGTGAATTTAAATAAAGTTTTATGGAAACATGCTCATGCCTCTTTCCCCTCTGCTGCGGATGGCTGTTTCGTGCTGCCCACGGGATGACACAGCAAAACCTCCCCGAGGCAACAGTGGACCTTTCAGTTTGCGAGGCCCGGATAGAGGGTGGGCAATACAGCCAGAATTAATGATCTGGCCGTGAATGAACTTGAAAGGCCATTCCTGTAGCGATGAATGGAAGGTGAATGAAGGCCGAGGCCCACACTTGGAATAGCAGCATTCACCTAACACAGTATGGTAAACACTAACAATTTTTAAAAACTGTTCAGCAGGACGGTCAGTGGGGAAGCAAAGAGGAAAGTTAACTGGGCTGGGTGTGGCTCAGGCACAGAGCTGTGTGCTTAGCAGGCCTGGGTCCCTGGGTTCCGTCCCCAGCACCCAAGAATCAAATCAAATCGAATCAACTGTTCAAGTTTTAAAAAGGTAAAAATCACCGTGCACACCCCAAGTACACATGGCACCAGGAGATGCCAGGCTCAGGTACCTCTGCACTGTGGGGACACGCATGTGTCTGTGTGCACACGGGGTTTTACAATTACAAAATCTGTTTGGGGGGACTTTGATCCACCAAGGGTACCTCTGTTGCCTTTCTAGTATTGATCTGTTTGGTCAGTGGGCTCCCTTTCGTCACTACCCCGTGTGCTCCCTGGTAGGTGTGTTCACTTTGGGGTCCCTGCCAGGTTCCCGGGCCCTCCCCTCCATCATCTGGTTTAGGGCTCCCAGTGGTGGAGGCTACCATTTTCCCTTTGAAGAGCGGGGACATCCGGAGGTAGCCCCTGCCGTGGCGGTGGATGTGGAGAAGGTAGATGGGGCCGAGGACCCAGAGGTACATGGGGGGCAGCCAGACCCCCGCTGTTCTCAGGAAGCACAGGCTCAGGGGGCTGTGGGCCGCAGGCTCCGGCTCTGTCTGGTTCCAGACCTGAAGAACACCAGGCGGACCCTCAGGATGGTACAACCCGGGGACCCCCATCTCACCTGCCTGCAGGTCCAGCATTTTGGGCCCCTAATGTTTACATTAAGATGTTCCACGCCCTCTTTGGGATGCTTCTCACTTCTCAACTCTTCCCGTCCTCACACCAGCCCTGTGGGTAGCTGTAATCACCATAGTGATTGGGCAGAGGAGGACGCTGAGGCCCAGAGAGGTTGAGTCACGTGGCTGACCATACCCACTGGGAAGTTGGTGGTGCTGGAAGCTGAAGCTGGGGAATTGTGTCCTGGAGTCGAGGACAAGTGCGCTCCGTAATGAGTGCTAGGCACAGGTGCCACCTCTTCTAAGATCTCCAGATGGTAGATGCTACTGTCCCCATCTCACAGAGGAGTAGAGGAGGAGGCACCCCGGGGGGCAGCCGTCTCCTTCAGGCCCACACAGGTAGGAAGTGCAGGGCTGACCTGCACTCAGGTGCCTGCTCTGGAAGCTTGGGTTTAGCTCCATCTTTCTGCTGGCCCTTTCTAACTGGAGAATTTCGAATACAGAGTTTGGCAGACATGGTCCCTTCAGGGTCAGTCACCCCCCCCTCACTTATGTCTACTCTGACTGCCCTGAACCCAGCCTCTCTGGGCCTCAGTTTGCTTCCCTGTAGAAGCCGGGAAATGGAATCTCCTAACTGTGGGTCAATAGCAGCCAAGCTCGGATGGCCACGAGGGCACGGGGCAGGCGCTCAGTTAACTTTGGGTCTCTTTATTGCCTGTCTACCAAGCCCTGAGAGCCTAGGGCTGGCGACCCTGCCCTTCCCAAGAACTCCGCTCTGCAGAGAGCTGAGGGCCCCGTGTCAGAGGGGCCCAGGGAGGCAGGGGGTCCTGCAGCTGGTAGGGGCTCTCCGCGGTGGGAAGGGCTTGGGGAGCTAGCTTCATGCAAGAAAAGCTCACAGCCCCCAGTCGCTGGGAGATCTGGAGGCCCCTTAGTCCGCTGTCACCTGGATTGTAACTGGAGAGCAGGTCTCTTCGCTTCCTGGGGCCAAGAATTTGGCGGGAGTGGGGGGCAGGGGGGAGTATTTCCCTTCCTAGTATCGCAGATCTGAGGCCAAACCCAGCCCGAGAAAGATCTGGGGCCAAACCCAGCCCGGGAAAGGAGAGCGGGGCTGGGTGCGCACTCACCCCCAGCCCTGCGCACGGCTCGCCAGGCGCTGCCATCGGGCGCCCTCCGTCTGTCCGTCTGTGGGTCCGAGCGTGGGTCTGCCTGTCTGTCTGTCCCTGGGCAGCCTCCTCCGCTGCGCTCGGGCAGGCCAGGGGTGGGGCCAGGCGGGATCGGAGGCCAAGGGCAAGGTCCAGCCGCGCCGCCAGGCTGGGACGACCAGGGTGAAAGGAGGCGCGGTGGTGGGGACGCGCAGGGAGGCCCGGGGATTCCATTAGGGGAGGGCATCCTGGGATCCCTGAAAAGTGCAGGGGCACCCCCATGCTCGTTGCCCGCCCTCTGCAACAAGTATTGTCCCAAACGCTTTGGAACCAGGAATTCCGGGTGTTTATCCCGATGAAAGAACCAACGGTGCGCACGGGTTTGTAGCAGAAGTCTTGGCAGCGGCCAGGGGCCAACAACCCGGATGGACATCTTCTACATGCAGGGCGCTGGGAAGAGTTTAAGAAGATTCTCAATAAAGAGTTTAGCACAAGCTGGGCAGGTGGCCGCGGGACTGGAACCCCAGCCATTATGGAGGCTGAGGCAGGAGGCTTGAGAGTTCCAGGTCAGCCTTGGCACAGCTGCGGGCACACAGTCCGTGCTAAATAAGCTAGGGATTACCTTAGCCTGGTGTTATCACTTAGTGCACGGGTTAATGACCAATGAGTTGTTCATTCTATTTGATTTTTTTTTTCCAGTTCTCGGTATTGAACCCGGAGGCTCCACCACTGAACTTCATCTCCAGCCCTTTTTATTTTGAATTTTGAGACAGAGTCTGCTTCTTGTTGCTTAGGCTGGCTTGGAACTTTCGCTCCTCCTGCCTCAGACTCCGTGGTGGCTGGCATTACAGGCAGGTGCCACTGTGCCAGGCAATAACCAGTAGTTGCAAAATGCCATCGCGGAAATGTGTGAACATGGAAAGTCGGTTGCTGAACACTAGGACGAGAGGTGACAGTCTAGAAAGGATATGATATTCTTACAGGGGAAAAGAAAAAAAGAGAAAAGAAAGGGCCAGGGGAAAGGGATATGCCTAAATTGGGGAAAGTGGAGAAGGAAGTCTTTTTTTTTTCTTCCCTGTCCTGAGTCTTACAGCAAGGTGTGTGGCTTTGTGTCAGAGTCCCCTGCCACTGGCTGCCTTTAGAAATGATGCTGTGTACTTGTGGTATGTGCGCAGATAAAAAAACGGAAGCACACTAAGGCAACGACCACTTTCATTGACATTTATTATTATTTTTCTTCTAATGAGCCCACACTCCTTTCAAGACTAGAGAGAGAGGGCTGGGATCGGGGCTCAGTGGTAGAGTGCTCACGTCCCCCGTGCGAGGCCCTGGGTTCGATCCTCAGCACCATATAAAAATAAATGTGAAGATTGGAGACAGGAACTCAGTCTTTCAGACACCCACCCAGATCTGCGTTTGGGTAAAGAATCAAAGCCCTCTGCACCCTCTCGCGGCTTGGCTGTTTCTTGGTGTCTTATCCTCATCTTTTTCTCCGGCCTCACCTTCTCCTGGGCCTCCACAATATGGGTTCCCACAGCCTCATTTCTGCCTGTCTCTTTGAGTCTCCCCAATCCAGCCTGGGGTCCAGGAAGTCCCCCCTTCAAGGGTCCTCTTGCTCATGTCCTCTGGAAGAGAAGGTCATAATGAACCCAGGGTTTGTTTTGAAGCTGAAGGGGCAGGTCTGCTGTTTGCTTTCACATCTTGTCTGTTTATTTGAGCTGCTTTGTTTGTGGAGTTTGAAGGAAATTAGGGGGAAGCTAAAGCCCACTTTCCCTGCAGGCTGCTAACCCCCACCCAGCTGGCTTAGCCGCAGTCCTGTTTCTTTGTATGTTTGAAGATGAATTTAAGGCACGGTCAGGGAGTCAGAAGAACACGGGGGAAATCGGGGGATGAACCAAGAAAATGACGTGGGGAATCCTATATCTACTCTTCAGCTGTCAGAACCGCCTGTGGCTGCATGCAGAGCAGTCTAGATAAGTCCTTTCCCCCTGCTTCCCATTCTGTAAGAAGAGAAGTTCCCAGAGGCCCACACTTCCTAAATGGTGGTTTTCAAACCCCTGGTGATTTGCTAAGACAAACCAGGGCTTCATGGTAGGGAGGGTAAATACATCAGCCTTATAGTGGTTCTGAATACAAACCCCACTGAAGAAATTAATAATTTAAACAGTTCTATGACTGAGTAGTTGAGAATCTCACTGTGTTTCAGTGGGAATGCAGAGGGGAGAGACGGAATCAGATGCACCCACCATGGCAGCCTGCTGTAGGACCTCATCCTCTGTAGCCACTGGGAAGGTTTTGACGACCATACAGTCTCATCTCGTGGTGATTCTTAGTTATATATTGTTTAAGTTTTAGCCACAATGGTGATAATGGCAGTGGGAAATCTCTTATTTCATCATTTAGAAACAAAATGTTAAAAACTACCAAAATAAAGCACTTTTTTTCTTAAAGGAGCAAAATGGAAAAAACTTCAAATATTAGGTTAGAAAGCAGTGTTTGTCAATTTTGGTGGATAATTGAATTAAATTCTGCCTACACATGTTATGTATTCAGTCTTTTGAAAAAATACAACATGCTGATATTTGAACTACTTTTAGACAAAACATTTCATCTTGGAGAATGAATCCAAAGTAAACCACATGTGGACCTCAAACTTTTGAGAGAGAGAGAGAGAGAGAGAGAGAGAGAGAGAAAACCTCTTGAGATCTGTTTCTATGCAGATAATAGAAGAGGGAGTAAAATAAATTTCAAATACCTTCTTTAATATTATGCTGAACTTAATATATTTTGGTTTAAAACTTACTAAACATTTATCCTAGAAAATGCACCAACTTGCAGATTTCTAGTGGGCTTATTGAGAGTGCATAACACTTGTGAAATATGTGAGTTAATTAGATTTGGGAAAGCTGTTGGATACCTCGATCGATGATTTCTTTTTTTTCTTTCCAGCTGTGATATTGAACCTAAGGTAGAATTCAGCTCCTGAACCCAGAGGAGCACCTGCCAGAGGGCGCGCGGGGTCCTCCAGGCCTCCAGGGGGCAGAGGAGGACGCGTTTCCTTGCTGAGCATGCGCCGTGGGTCTCTTCTGTGGGCGTGGTCTCGCAGTGCGCCTGCGCGGCGGTGGGGCGGGGTCTGGGCTGTCAGCCGGCGAAGAGGAAGGAGCCGGCAGCGTGCTGAGTGAGGGGCGGGACCGGGCGGCCAGCGGAGGGTCGGCGAGGGCTGCCGGGCCATGTGGGCGGGCCGGG